CCCCGGAAAAAAAAAGAAAAAAAAAAATCCCCCAAACCCCACGAGAGCCACCACAGTCACTTCTCAGTCCTGATGATGCCGCTGACGCCTGCTACGGCTGGCTAAAGACACCTTCCTGAATTTGTGGGGTGCGGTACAGCGCTGGCCACGACTGGCATTTCTGACCCAGCTGTGACACGCTGCCACATTTGGAAAAAGTGAAGAAAACAATTGCCGTATTACCAGTGAGGAGAAAGCAGTTGTGTCAAAACCCGGTGTTTGCTTCCCCACTTGGCGGATGGCATTCGTAGATTATCTCTCTTCCTTCGCTAACATTAGTCATAAGCAATGGCCAGAGCAAAAGCAAATGCAAAACAAAACAAAAAAACCTGCCCCACACTTTTTTCACTGAAGCAAGGCAGAAAACAGCTATTGCTCTCCCCCGCGCCCCTCTGGGATAACCTTGAGGGCAGGCACTTGCGCAGGGAGCACGTAACTACAACAAAGGCTGTTAAGTCACCTGGGCGCAGGGCTCGCGTGGAGACCTGATGGTTGCACAGGCAACACAGGCCCCATAGCACGCTTAGGGGAAAAAAACGAGCCCGTCTCCTCCAAGCAAGGGTACTGTGCTTTCACCTACTGCAAAGGGAACAAGCGGACACTTCAGAGCTCTCCATTTGCTTACATACATTTTAATTTCAGGCGTTCTTTTGCCAAAAGGCTCTGTGGCTCATGCGGGAGCAGGACTGCAAGCTCCGCTCGGGGGACTCGCTGCCGCCACGCAGGGGGATGGGCAGGTAAGGCATGCCGGACGCACGCTGAGCAAGGCCAGGCTGCCGCCAGCGCTCCGGGGCTTTCTTCGCTAGCACATTTCCAAACTGCATCGCTTAATTACATGTAACATCTTACCCAAGATTCATACGCAACACTGGATGAAAACATTTAGAGTTGTAAAATGCATCTAGTTCTTACCTTTGATATGCCTGAGGAGATGTGGGAGGTGTATTGAACACATGCGAATATGGGTGATAGGGTGTCTTTTTCAAAGCCTGAATAAGATTTTGTCTATATTCTGGGTCTATACACCACAAGGACCCCTTTCCAATACTCTGCAAAGAAAAAAGAATTAAAAAAAAAATCAAATATTTGATCTAATGGCATAGCCTTATTTATTTAGCAGTATTTGTCAGGAAAAGCAGTGGGTTTGGGTTTTTTGTCTGACAGAAGTGAACATAGCTTGCTTGCGAGAGATTATTGCTCCATGAATAACATATTGTGACTGTATGATTTCAATCACACTTCTGGGGGGGGAAAAAGTAAGAATGAATGAATGGTTGCTTCTCCCCCCACCCCCCTGTTACTAGTTATTATGATTTAATAATATCTGGCAATTTCCCCATCACCCCATATTGGAAAATTAAGAAGCTACAGTTACTGTTAAATGGAAACTTTGAAGAAAAGTAGATTCTTTTTGAAAGTGATTTTCTTTTCCTTCTGCTGTTATACTAACAAGAAACAGGGCTAAAAAGGAGGGGTTTAAACACCCTAGCAACTGTTTTAAAAATAAAAGGACTTAATCCTTCAACCACATGACATCAGTGCCATTATACTACAAGAGGAAATTAATCATCTTTTCTCCCCTAAGGGGAAAAAAAATACCCAAAAAACCCAAAACAAAAAAAAAGCCCACAGTATAATCAGAGTTTAAACCATCTAAGGGTGTTGTGAAATTGTGATCCGTTAAAACAACAGTTACTGTAATTACCCCTTCTGGACACACAGAGCAACTCAAGTAGTCAATCTGTAATGCAAAGACTACACTAAAATTCAGTATTTATTTTGCAGTTACGAGCAGTGCCATTTCAGCTCTTCTCTCAATCCGATCAGAGGTCAGGGTGCAGATATTTTGAATTGTTTTGTGTGAGTTCTCAAACAAACAGAAAAACAACTTTCCTTGGCTCCACTATGAAAGCATACAAAATGATAGCTCAGGAACAGCCTTGGTCTGCTTGAGCATACGTAAAAACAAACACCAATCCTAATTACTGACTGAACTCCACTGGCAGGCTTTCAAGGCATTATGATAAGATTTTTGGCAAATGTTGACGTTTTCTGGAACAGGCGGGGGAGGCTGCACTATGGCCTCTAGCTGCTTTTCAAACCAGGACCATCCCTTTTCTCAACTCCAACTTCTATAAGCGGAGCAAGGCTCTCAGTTTCATGTGTAGAAGAACAAACACACACACACAATCACACCAGAAGTGGGATATTATTTTCTAAAGCCACGAGGGAGACCAAAACCAGACACTTGTTTCCTTTTGAAAACTTGTCATCTTTGTGGAGCCCTACCAAATCCTAAGCATTCCTTTGCCTCATGGATGGCTTTAGGATACACAGTGCAATGTGCGTAGTGCTTACAGACCTCCTTCTGAGCTTACCGACAGCAAATCTCCACTAAATTCTCCCCCCAAAAAAGAGAAAAATGAGGAAGAAAAATCTTCCCCAACGTCACTGGATGGCTGCGTGGGAGCATCTAGCAAGTCCACAGCACCATGTGAGACTTGGCTTGAAAGAAAAGGAGAGGGGCTGGCACAACCCGCAGGAACCGCGACTGCTTTCTTTCAGAAACAAGCACATCTGCTGGAGGGGATGAAGAAGGAACCATCTTCTGCACACTGCTCTGGTGGAACCAGGAACATGGGGTCAAGCCTCTTCAGGATGGCAGGGTTCAGGCCCATCTCTCCCCTTGCTTCCCAAGGGCACCCTTCCAGAAGGCCACTGAACACTAAGGGGAGACATCCTTCAGCTCTCAAGGTGAAGCGGGGCCCTCGCATGGCCAAAAAGCCCAAGATTCAAGGGGCTATAGAGAGAGAGCAAGCAAGGCTCTGGGGCTTTCATCTCCGTAAAGCACTACAGCATATGACTGAAAGATCCACTGCTGGTATCAGTGGTGGAAGCTATGCACCACACATCTCAAACCAGTTTGCAAAAAGGAGACTGTTATGTTTAACCCTCTTTTAAACATGGCACAATGAGCCAGAGACTTGACATGATAAGCCTAGTAAGTGACTTTTTAGGCAAAGGACAGAGTCAAAAATAGAATCCAAGCCTCTCAAATTCCACTTCCATGCTCCATCCAAGAGCCAGAGCAAGAAGAACAGAAAATTTCCTTTTAAGCAAGCAATGTGCAAAACTAGGAACGTTTTTCAGGAGAAAACCTTTGCTGGATTCCTCACTCCTTACAGCATGCGATAAGCTTAAAAAAACAAGCTACACTTAAATACCATCTACCTTATTTGTACTTGCTGGGATACAACATATTGTTTCCAAACGTCTCTGTTTTTTCATTTACTTCCAAGACGAACTTTTCATCTACCTGGAAGAGATTACCCCCCAAAACCCATCGGAGTTAGTTCAAGTTGAGGGCCGTACAAGATGAAGTCACTACTGAAGGGTAACTTCAAAACCTTTCATTACTGTTAAGCTAAATTTGTTTGGCTTGCCCATATTCTTCCAAAAGCCAGAAATAATCTCACTGAAGAACAGAAACTCACACAAAAAGTATTGAGAAAAATTATACTCCTTGTTACAAGAAACACTGGGAAGGCAGATTTGCTATATTTTCACTGCAACTGAGCTGACTTATAATTTAGCAGCAAAAACAAATGCAATTTAAGGCAAAGCTCTCCAACCATGCAAAGTTCCTTTTTTAAGATAGTTACTTTTGTTTTTCCAGTCACATGAGAGAACAGAAATAAAACGAAAACTGAAGTGTCATCCGGTTAAGAATCCTTCTTGACTGTCGGAGGTGTGAAGAGCTTCGTTAACTGTCTGTTTAGATGTGTCATTAGTCTTCCCGTATACAGAGCAATCACGGGAAAGGAAATCACTGGAACTCAGACCCATCGGTTAGTGATTAATTTCCATCTTATGACACTTAGCGTGCTGCTTCAATACCTCCTCCAAGCCAAAAGTCAATAGTGGCTCCAATCAAAAACCAGCAAGGAAGGGAAAAAAAAAATCCCTGGATTACATTTGTCTCCCAGGCAACAAGTGACTGAGGAGTGGATAACAGCCCCCTGATCACCTCCTCACTGGAGTGCTTTCAGACCTCCCGACATGCCGCCGCCTCCTCCCAGGGCCAGGCACAGCCACCTCCCTCCCTCACTCCTGCCGATCACAGGTTACTGCTTCTGCATCCGTGTCTAAGGTTATTAAAGAAAAGGGAGTGTTCTACGAGTCCTCTGCGCCTTGTCCAAGAGTAGACTATAGTTGCAGGTAAGCTATTTCAGAGGTACTAGTGGGTAGAGAAAGCAACACGTAAAAGTTACCCCGTAAAAGTTTATGACTCAATACTTTTTCTTTGAAAAAATTCCTGATTATCTTTTCTATTAAGAAATTGTTATGCCTTTTTCTGTCACTTAATATATATGTAGATTGTATCGGGATATTGTGTACTAAATGCCAACTTATTAATTCATTTGCTCTTTCTTTTTTCTCAAACATACAAATCTGATTCCCCAATAACAATTAAAACCAGCGCATTGCCATGAAAAGGTACACGATACACTCAGTGTCCAATTGTTTTTTCTCCCAATGGACTTTATATAAAAGTTTTAAAATCCTACTTTACACAACCTATTATGTTTGATGATCAGATGACAAAAGTGTTTGGTCATCTTTTAGTAGAATTGAAGAAAGTTTGAAATTTAAAAATAAAATAATTAAAATGCTGCTTGTCAGCTCTTTCAATTGTTATAGTTGGAGATAACATCCACTATTAAAACTCCTCATTATAAAGATTTTGCTTCCATATACCTCACAACTAACTGCCTGGCCTTACATATCACCTATTGTCTGCCCAAAGCTCAATTAAAAGAAAAAAAAAAAAAGGTGCATTGAGCTCTTTCCAAGACTAATGGCTGGGAAAAAATACATATCCTGTCTATATAAAAATTCCAGCAAATGGTTATTTGAGGAATTTTGTTCCCTGGTTATTTTAGCACAGACTTTAATGTGTTAGGAACACAACTTTTTTCCAGAGTTGTTCTTTTCATTGCCATACAAACTGCCCAAAATAAAGCTTTGGGAAGAGAGCAGATACAGGAACCGCAAAACACGCAGGCTCAGAGGGATTCTGGCAATTTCAAATTGTACCTTCTGAAGCTCCGGTTACACGTTTGCTTTGAATCTGCACAGGACTGTGCTGAAACCAGGGAGGAATAGCTCCAGGCACCCACATTTCTCGCAGCAGCATCACCACTGAGAGGGTCCCTAAGGGAATAGACCCCTAAGGGAACATTCCCCAAAAGGGATGCCGTGGATGGAGGGGTCTGAGCTACTGCTTCCCTGGTCCTTGCTGCACCGTCCTCCTCCCTGCCCTCTTGCATGTGCCTGGCCCTTCTTCCACAAGCCCATTTCAGCCATTCTCCTCGAAGAAAACTATTTTGCTGGCACAATTTTACGTCATTTAAACTCATTAAGCTAGCTCACGTGAAGGGTCTGATGAGCACCCAGCGCTGCTGCAAAGCAGCACGGATGCGGGGAGCCAGGGAGGGGAATGGGAGCTCTCTCCTTCTGCAGCAGGAGCCGTGGTGACATCCCGATGCATCTCTTGGAACAGCACACCGAGAAAGGAAAACCAGGACTCTGGCTGGACCAAAGCAGCTCAGAAGAGGAACAGGAAAAATGGCGCGACAGAGAGCAGGCATACATGGGAGAGCTGGGGTGAGCTGGCAGCGAGGCTGGCAGACATGGCACTGAGGGAAAGACCAGGAGAGCTGCGCAGCCGAGACCAGAGACACTGAGATGCTGGGCACGGATGCATGAGGGCCGGGGAAGCCAGGTAGGCTGGGAGGAGAGGAACTGAAACAAGAGATCCATGAGTGCATGAGTGACTGCACAGCTCTGCACAGGCACCCAGGCTACGCCAGCAAGCTGAGAATTATTAAACTGAACTCTTTGAGTTAAGGACCTTGCTACCTTAAACAAGCTAACAAAACCGAAACCAAGCCAACAAGTCCCCACTGAATAGATCTGTCCTTCTCCACTACCAAACCACGAGGGGATGAGTGGCCATGGCTAGACTTTCCTGAACCCAAACTGTCAG